CCTGCCCTTATGGTGCCCTATCCAGCCGTTTTCCGACCTCATTCCTGCACAAATGGTATCAGAGGGGTTTGAATTCAAACCATGTGTAAATCTCCGAAACCACTTTTCCGTGAACAGTGCCTTTAAGTAGATTCGCAGCGGTTTCTCCTCAGGCGCATTCATGCATGCTTGTGCAGAGTTTGTGGACGCGATTAGTATGCATTATGTCCTTTCAGCAAAGGGCTCGGTTCAGCCAACTGCTCGCACTCGACTGGCCGAAAAGTACTTCAGAAGTGGGCCGAAACCTTCTTTGATAGCCTGACTAACTGCCTGAAGTCCACTCAGCCTCAAAGTCAGGGCCTGGCAAGTTAAATGTGGGGACACATGTATAAACCGTAAACAAAAAAAGAGACTAGAACAGCAATATTAGCAGTAAATATTAGTATATAATGAGAAGGGCATCATTCCACTGATCTTGAATAAGAATCGAATGCGGCAGCATTGGCGTAGGACCGCTCGCAGAGGCTTCCAGGGTTTCAATGGCATAACAGGTTGTCCAGACGAAGAAAGACTAAGGACGAAGACGGAAGCTCCCTTCTAGTGTACGAAGTTGCATCGGAATCGCATACAGAAAAGATGATGATGCAGATCAGGAGTTCATGTACTGTCTCATCAGAATCAGGCACAGCCTGGTACACGTCAGTCTCGGAAACGGGAAGAACTGCTCTTCGGAACATGCCACAACTTGATGCAGGTGTCCTCATTGCAAACATCGAAATACTAAAAAACGAGTAAAAAAAAGAACTCAGCTGATTTTATGTACTTGAGTCAACAACGCTCGTGTCGGAAATCTACATTGGAGGTTTAATCATGCAAACTAGGAAGATAAAGAAAGACGTCATGACCGACTGAGAGAAGAAGACTCCCTAGCTTCGTTTTTGGAGAAAAAGCAGCCCAACCCATGCCCTAACATCTTCGTTGCCTACTCGCCAAGGGCAAAGAAGAGCAGGAGCAGGAAGCATTTTATATGTACTTGAGAAGGCTTCACAGAGAGAACCGTACTCTCTCCAAGGTCATCGTCGGTGAATTTAACGCCAAGATGGCACCCAGTAGAACGGCTGACGAGCTACACAGCTACCCTACAAGACTCACGGAAGGGATTGGAATGAGCATGGTGAAGAACTATTCGAGTTTGTCATGTCGACCTACACCATCCGTGGTAATTCGTTTCCAGAAGCCCTTTCATTCGCAATGGATTCGGCCATTTAGTGGACAGTACCAGAATGAACTGGACCACATCATCAGCAATTGAAGAACTGCCTGACTGAAGTAGCTGAGGTTTGGCGTTCTACACGGAATTCTCCAGGTCCACTGTCTCTACCGCGTGATTCTGTTCTCAAATGAGACGAGTGAGAGCCACTAAGGGGAGACGAAGGCTTGAACCGTCATAAATTGGGATCTTTCCGCTGATGAGAAGACTCTGACAGTGACAGCGTTGACGGGGAATGTTGGCCTATTCAAGATAATGCCAGGAAGTTTACAAGATACCGCTCTCCGAAAGCCCTTCAGCTCATGCGCCTCACATCAGAATCTCGTAAGCCACAGCGTCAGAATAACGTACGAAACTGCCAAGCTACGTGGAAAGCCGAAAAGAGGATTTGAAAGAGAAAAGAGGAACAGACCTGGCCGAAGCCGTCGAGAATGGGTCGGGTATTCGCAATGCCCGACAAAGATTCGCAGTTCACAAGACAAGATGACTTGCCTACATATTTCACCTTGACGGAAAGGCATTCTATTCTGAGGAGAAGGGCCATCTACAACCTCTACTCTGATCTTTTCAACAGCGATGCTCAACAAATATCCAACAGATGCTTCAACAGTAATCAAGCAAGACATCGTGAGTCTCCTAGACCTTTCAGTCAGGAATTGAACGCTTCGCTTTGAGATCTGCTTAACCCTGTTTTCCTTTATTCCTTATCTCAGAAATCCTGAAATGATAGCACCCTGACTTTGAATTCAACTGCAAAGGCAGGATCAGATTATCATTTCCTAAAAGGTGGAATGCCCCGCTTCGGTGATACTGTTTGAACGCTGTCGGATCCGTTGTTGATCTCTTTCCGTGGATTAGAAACTAGGTGGCTAAATCGATTTGTAAAGTAGATGCAACCAGTTCCCTCTGTTTCATCAGTCAATCTATGAATAGACTTCTATGACCTGCCCAAGGATGGCAATTCCATTCATAGAGAATTTCATTCGGATAGGCCACCTTTCGTTGGCAACAAATAAACTCAAACCAAATACTTGTGTCTCCATATAGAACGCATTCCAAGAAGGACAATCATGGCAACAGATGCTACTAATCTCTCAGAATAAGTTTTGTTCAAACTTACTCTGTATGTGCGGAGTGAGACAGTCAAATCTCTCCTGGAATGTCCTGATGATATAGAGGGAACGAAGTCGGTGCTCGAACCGTGGAATTCTAAAAAATTCTAATCGTTGCAAATTGCTTATATTGTAGTTACAAACACTCACTGAGCCATTTCATAAAGGTAGCGATCCGCCAAAGCCAGTACCGATGGTGAATTGTGCCGATTGACGGCGTTCCTGAGCAGATTGATTTCCTCCTTGCTCGGCACGAACTTGAGCATCTAGAAAGGGGATATTGGTTTACCCGTGATATAGCAGGGGCAAAGGTGATTTCTCTTGAAACTTTTTACGCCGTTTTTTTTTCGCACCGCTTGCCTGAAGCAGTGAAAGAATCTTTGGAGAGTAACGAAATGCTAAGCGCTTACTTGCTCGAGCATATCTTTGGGAAGTCTTCCTTTATCATCCATTGCTAAAAGAGCTGCCCGAATTTCTCTATGTGAGAGCTTCAGCTTGGAGAGCATGATTGTGCAGTTCTGATACCGTCTAGGATCGATCACAGAAACCTGGAAGTAACCGAATCAGCCACGGCACAGAAGAACACTTTAATTGTTGACTTCTCATTACCTGTATATCCCGAGTTCGTCTGGACACCGTACTGTAAAAATCGATGTCCTCTTCCTTCTGTGAGCTCGATGCAAAAGTTGAAGCCACATTCTCCAGGTCCAACTAAACGTAAAATTTCATTTTAAATAGTAATTAGATGAAGGATATGTGCTTGAAGGCAGTGTCCCCTGCCTGGCTGCCATTGCGAGATTCACTTTTCCAGCCGGCCACTCGTTTTGCATGCTGTTTATCACCAGCCCACGTTATTTATGGTTAATGGGGTCATCAATTCCTAACCTGCTTGTACATCTTCTCGTCCTCAATAAACTCCCAAGCCGTTCCTTTGACCTTTGACTCGGTGAGTTTCAACCAGTTGAATGACTTCAAAGATCCAGTTGGCTTCGGCACACGTTTCTGGGTCTGGAAGTTCAAGAAAAAAAATCAGACAAAAGGTAATTTCAGTTAGAGGCTGTTGCGGGAACGAGTGAGGATATTCGTCTGGCGGAATCATTGCAACAACTAAGGCTTACTTCATACAACAGCCGATCGAGAACTTGAACGAAGAACGGTGAGTATGGAACATGGAGCAAACCTCGTCATTTCTCATCGCTCCGAGAACAAGCGATGGTGGAGGCGGCGGAGGAGCTATCGCTGGTGGGCAAATAGGTGGCAGTGGCGACATTGAGGGACAAGGGTCGGAAGGAGACGATGAAATATTCGAAATTCTGAATGAAATGCATTACCTATTTCAACGCAGAGAAAATAGAGAGAACGGACCTGCTCGAGATGCTGTCTCGCCCGTCGTTGAGGTCGGCTATGCGGTTATCGAGCTCCATTGCTCGGACTCTTTCCTGATCCAACTCTTCCTTCATGCGCTCCATGTCGCTTTCCAAACGCTCATAGTCACAATGCGTGTGCAACCTGTCAGAATAGTGGACTCCTCTTGAAAATCCACATACTGCTAGCAATGTACCTCGTTAATATCTCCTCCATATCTACTGTAGACGCGAAAGTTTCCTCGACGTCACTCATTCCTTGGACGGTTGCTTGAAGTGTGAGATGCTGCAGAATCAAGTCAAAGAGTCGCCACAGTGGGAGGTGCTTCTCGTCTGATGGTACCTGGAACGTACCTACAAAATCTAAGCTAATAATATCAATCCGTCGGCGCTATCAAATTACTCGTTGTTTCAACTCGCGAAACTGGAATTACTGGATGACCAACCCATGTGGAAATCCTGAGTACCGTAACGTGCTTCATTTTTGCGAACGATACCGCTCCCCGATACCCTCCAATAGCACTGAAGGAGGGTTAGGTTTATTAATTTCCTGCCGACCTCCTCGCTGAGATCCCTCACCTTTCACTAAAAGGGATGAGGAGTAGCGATGGTACACAGGATTACGTTGCAAAGATTGTGCTAAACCGACTATTTCGCCTACACGAAGCTGACATTAAATATTGCGCTGTATATACCGCTCGAATCAGATTTCGAGCTCTACAACATGATTCTCGAAACTCTGCAGAAGTTTCTTTCTATATGACCTTGAACTCAAAGGCACAGTTCACAATAAGAATGATTTCTGAGATTTTTCCCCAAATGAACCTGTAATCCACTAGAATATTCTATTCTATTCTTACTAGGATAGCACAAGGGACGCTACCGGGACGAAACACGGTCCAGATATTGCGTAATAACGGCCCCGAAGCTAGTCAAGCCGTACATATTCAAAGGAGTTTTCAGGACTTGTAGAGACTGTAGAGGTAGCACCATTCTTACCGGGACGCACGCGTTGCACGCTGTGAATACCCAGCTGCGATGGTCACACATATGAACAGTCGAAATATCCCTTCCATGCAACTTTGTCGTCACATTCTCGTCCAACTTTCCTACTTTTATGAGGCCATATGTTTTCTAGACACGCCGATTTTCGCGTTTCCTTCACCTTTTTTGAACTACTTTGGAATATTACTTCTATTACTCGTCTAACTCTCACTCATACTTTCAAGTTTGAAGGGACATTTCGTAAAATCTAAGAACATAGCCGCACACTCGAAGAAGGATCCCGTCCTTTTGAACATTCAGCGCTCTGCGGAAATTTTCCAGCTTCTCCAAAATAAGCAATTTCTCTGTTGTGTTATGTTGCTCTGTTGTGTGGTCCTGAACATCATCGTGCTACATACTCCGTGAAGTGAACACTTTTCACCACCTCATCGGACCGAACTTAACCGCTGCGATGTGTACATATCGAATCTCCAGAACAAATGCCATGCAATGATGCATAGAGCACCCTTGAACGAGAACCTCGAGGTCTGAGATCTTGTATACACGAACAGCGTGCCCCCCCCCCCCCC